TTTCAATTTTATATACTCATCCATATCGAAATAATTAATCATTACATATCGGCAAATCGTCAAATTGTTGACTCAAAGGTATGCGTTGTTTTTTTCGAACGAAGGATAAAACAGATTGAAATATAAAATACCTGCTTCGGACGAAGACAATGTTTTTTTTCGTTACCTACATTATTCGCAAATTAATATTCCCTGTGCCATTCGTTGAAGATATTTCATTATACAAGTTTTACCGCTTTGCTCACATTCACGCATCTGATCTATCTAGTCTATGCTCCTCGCCCCTACTCTCTTTTAAAATTAACAAATGAAATAAAGGAGAAAAAAGTGGAATTAATAAGAATAAAAATCTTGATTTCAGAATAGCTCATAATCTTACTTCTAACTCCAGTTTAATCTAAGTTGATTTGCTAAAAATTCTTTCAATTTCAATTTTTGCTGTTCTGCCCTTTTTCTTGCGCAAATGTAGCGATTCGGCTGGCAAAAGGGCGTAATTACAATTTGAAATGAGCCCGAGAAAGCACTGCGTTACATGGACAACAGGGTTCATCTTCAAGTGTAGTTACGCCTTTATGTCAGAAAGGCGACGAATTGGTATGGTCTCGCTCAATTTTGAATACGAACCACGGTAAACAAGTTTTTCAGTTCTGTTGATCCAATGTTGCTCGGTAGGAAAATGACAGCCACGGGGAGAGATGCTTCTTGCTGAAACCGTGGAAATCACGTGTTCTTCCTCTAAAAATTACGCACTGAGAAAAATATATGGTAATATTTACTATGAGTCTACTTTATTTTTTACACAATGATAGTATTTAGTGAAAATAACCTGAGCCATTGCAGTATCCACCAGAACTCAGACGATACTTAACATGATATGGTAAATGCTACAATAGAGTCTGGTATTTATTATCATACTTGTATCAATGTGTCAGAGTATAGTAAAATCTACCATATTTTTTTTTTTCAGTGCGGGCTGCATTGTTCTTTGCGACAGTGGTAGAAATTTGTTCTCTTCCGAAAAAATTATCTTTTGCACACTTTTAACTAAAATTGTGTTGTTAATGATTTCGGATTCCTTCGAAAAATCTACATAAAAAATTAAAAGTTTTTAGTGTAATTAAACTCTCCAAAAGACTGTTACAATGTTTGAAGTGCATTGGGGAAAATTTTCACGGAGAGAGTCTCATTGTGACTTATGATTTAGGTTTATGAAAGCAGTTTTTTCAGCGCTCTCACGCGACACCTAACCACCAAATCCTCATAGTCCCACAGTGGACCGAGCCAGTAGGAGAGGTCGCCCTGGTAAACATTGGCGATAAGAGCTACGTTTCAAAATATCATAGGAATTCTTATAGCCGGCTAAAGAAGGCTCCAGAAAATTGTATAGCTGGCTGTAGAATGCGGAGAAAATCATACGGCCGGGCTATACGAAGCGATAAAAAAATATGCAGCCGGGCTATAGTTCCTATAGCCGGGCTTTACACTTTATCGCCTGGTTATTACTTTTTCGCCATCGATTATAAAAGGCTATAAGAAATTGTGTAGAAATTCGTGTGCTTTGGAAATCATTAAGTAATAATAATAATAATTTATTTTATTTGTAAATGCACATTTATAACGGCGAAAGCAAATATGTCAAAATTAGTTAGGATATAAGAAAAAAACAAAAAAAAAAAAAAAAACCAAAAAGAAAGAAAAAGAAAAGAAAGGAAAGAAGATTACAGAGCTTAAGCTAAATATTCTGCTACACTATACAAACACTTGGCAATAAAAAATTGTTAATAAAAAATTGTTAAAAGTTTGGCACGGAACCACCTTAATATTTACAAAACACACGTTATATTTTCCTTTAATACATATTTTTTTTCATCAATTAAAACGAGAATAATCCATACAGGATGTACAAACATTTCAAAATCATGAGTTGAATAACGCTGACTCTGTCAGATTAAATATTAGAGCCTAACACAAAGCAAGCGGAGCGGCGACGCACTGGCGCCTACAAACCTAACAGGGATACTTCACGCGTTGCGCAGTGCGGGAAGTATACAGTCGGGCTATAGTTCCTATCGCTGGGCTTTGCACTTTATCGCCATTGGCTATAAAAGGCTAAAAGAAATTGTGTAGAAATTCGTGTGCTTTGGAAATCATTAAGTTTGATACGAAACTACCTTAATATTTACAGAACACACTTTATATTTTCCTTTAAAATATATTTTTTTTTTTCACCAATTAAAATGAGAATAGTCCATACAGAGTGTGCAAACGTTTCAAAATTATGAGTTGAAAAACGCTGACTCCGCGAGATTAAATATTAGAGCCTAACACAAAGCGGAGCGGCGACGCACTGGCGCCTACAAACCTAACAGGGATACTTCACGCATTGCGCAATGCGTGAAGTATCCCTGTTAGGTTTGTAGGCGCCAAAGCGCGTTTTGCGCTAGCTGCCCGCCTGCCGCGCCGCAGCGTGCCACGGCGCTTGAAGCAACTATTTCACACTAGAGGTATTGCACAGTATCATACGAAACTGAAGGCGTTCTAATAGATTAGGAATGGCGGGCATCCATCAAAAGTACGGAGCTTTCCTCGCAAAATAAATCAAGATACTACGGCCCAAAAAGAGAGCAGTGGTCCAGAAACTCACTAGATCCTAGCATCCGTAATTAGTGACGTTTAGCATACACTTTATCGCCTGGCTGTGAGTTGCTTAATCGCAATCGGCTATAAAAGGCTATAAGAAGCTGTGTAGCTGGCTATAGAAGCTATTAGAAATCTTACAGCCGGCCGTAGGTCTATGGTATTTTGGAACACAGATTCTACTGCCAATTTTTACCAGGGCGGACAAAATTTGGAAACTTCAGACTCTCATAACTCCGTTTCCACAAAATTTTGAGGTTCCTAAAGTGGCTTCATTGGTTTCCTCATGAAATTTTCTCTCAGGAACACCCCTTAAAGTTTAAAATGTGACTAAATAAACATCAAAATTTGCAGTTTTAATCAAAAATTTTATGGTCGACTTCTCTAATTGACCCGATCCACTGTGCACCCTTCAACTTATTTGCACGTTACTTGCAAAACCTAATAACGCCAAGTTCTCACAGGGCGTTCCATTCGTTGCCTCTATCTTTTTTGGCGGTCTCTCTGCCATCATAAGACTAGTATATTTGATGATGATTTTATTATGATACAATCCGGAATCTATTATAATTTTACTTGAAAACTTGTAAAAGATGAGCTGTTGAAAGAGCCTGTGCAAATGCAAAATGCTGCACAATCCTGTGCAATGTACTTGCAATGTTTCGTATTCAAATTTTTTCGTTTGAAAAAGACAATTGAGGAAAGGAAGAAAGTATGAGGTTAGAAATTTAAACTGGGTCAGAGGAGAAAACAAGTTTTTCACACCATCATTGAATTAGATTGCAAGACCACTGAGCGATAAAAAGGGGAAAAACTTAGAAAAAAAGAAGAGGAGGAGAAAAATTTGGATATGAGAAAGGAGCGAAACAGAAAAGAGGGGGGAGATAAATTTAAACCGAGGGACCAGCTTATTTTGAGGAAAAAGAAGCAAACCAGAAAAGAGAGGAGAGGTGAAAAGGTGACTAAAATAAATGATCGGCCGAAAGGGGGAAAGAAAAGGAACGTTCTAATGCAAATAGAAGATTTGCATTAAAGCATGCCACTAAATTGATGGAGATTGAAAACGAGAGTGATTCAATTCCACAATTTAGGGGTTAGGTTGAGATGGGGAAAAATTTGGAATATTAAATGAGCTAATTGAATAATACGTTCTAATAGGCACAGAAGGTGCTTTATTAAAGCAAGTCGGCTAATTGCATGAAACCTTCTCTATCGGAATAGTGAACGTGACATGCAATTAGAGGAGTATACTTTTTTGGGATAGCCCAAAAGCAGGACAGGCGATACACCTGTGGTGAAGAGTGAATTGAACCTGAAATGAGAAGGAATATTAATACGTAGAGTGATGAGGCAGCGCTTGTAGCATACCTTTCATCACTTACGCAGAGATTGTTGGAGTGAGCCAAGCTGGAATTCAGAGAACCGGGATGAGGTGACGTCGGTTTACTTCGTACAGCGGGCAGGCGCCAAGTGATCACTTTGCTTCGTGTGGACCGTCGGTTGACGGGACTTGCTTGTGGCGGGAAGGTGTCCTTTCCAACGTTGGAGAGCCAGAGTCCTAATCCTAGTCCAAGTTCTCCACCTTAGCAGGGGCGTCGGGTATAGATTCTTGATCCGGGAGAGAGCTACTTCCGTAGTGAGGTCCGGGTCCGTCTTCTTCAGCGTGCTGGATGCAAGTGACCAGGGCTGCCGATACTCGGACTCACATTTCGCGAATTTTTTTACTCACACGCTACTCACCAATCTAAAATTTACTCACTGATCCCGATTTTACTAACTTTTACCCACCGTTCTCAATTTTACTCACTTTTTACTCACCCTTTCCCGATTTTACTCACATTGACATTGTTTTCACTCACCGATTACTCATCGTTTTAAATTTTACTCACCGATTACTCACACAAATAGCGCCAAAAATGGAGAATTACTGAGAATTACCCATGGATTTTGCATTACTCACGATTACTCACGGATCGTCGGATTACTCACCAATTACTCATTACTCACGTTTTACTCACCGGTGCTCAAATTACTCACGATGTGAGTAATTACTCACGAATCGGCAGCCCTGCAAGTGACTCCAAGGGGCGAGCGGCTGACGACTTGAGCGCCGCGCAAGAGCCAAAAGGAACAGAGCGGGGACGGCCGCTAGGTGGGGGGCTCCAGGGGGAGCGGATCTGTGTTTGCCGTGGACTTTGAAAGTTGGAGTTGAATGATGAGATTTGAACTTTATTGGTCGATAAAGGTTTGAGCAGGTCGGGCTTAATGAGTACTTCCAGAATATATATGGTTTTGGGGGTCCATCAGAGAACCGAAGCTAAAGAAAGTGAAAAATTTGGAAAATTTGCATATGGACGGGACTCATGGTTGCAAAGAAATATGGATGTAATGGAGTATCCGTATCTCCGTATCTAGGAGGAGCAGAAACAATAAAGGAGGCAATCCAACTAAAGAATGATGTAGAGGAAATTTTGCTTCGAAGAGGTTTTCCGCTTAGAAAATGGGCCTCAAATGAGAAAAACGTATTCCAAAACACTAGTAATCGCACAGAGCCATTTTATTTCAATGAAGAGACTGATGTTAAGGTTCTGGGCATCGGATGGATCCCAAAAACGGATCAATTCTTTTTCAAAACGGTCAATTCTCCTACTCCCAAGAACGGCTATTCAAAAAGAACGATATTATCAGAAACGTCAAAACTTTTTGATCCTTTAGGGCTAGTTAGCCCTGTAGTAATTCGTGCAAAGTTTATCATGCAAAAAGTATGGCTACAAAAATTAAAATGGGATGAGAAAGCACCTACTGAGATTCAAAGTGAATGGGAAACGCTGAGATCGGATTTTCAAGAGCTACAAAATCTAAAGATAAGCCGTCATCTTTTGATATTTCGAAATGATGAGACAATAACATTTCACGGATTTTCTGACGCATCTATGAAAGGTTTTGGATCTTGTGTTTATGTTTCGGTCACGAATAAATCAAAAAGAGTCACAAAACTAGTTTGCGCTAAATCAAGAGTTGCGCCTCTTAGAACGAAACAGACTTTACCACGTCTAGAATTGGCCGCCACACTACTTTTGTCCAAGTTGATGGTAAAAGTAACTTCCGCCTTGCAGATAGAACCCGCATCCACATTTATGTGGTCTGATTCTGCCATTGCTTTACATTGGATTAGCAATGCACCTAACAAGTGGCAAGCTTTCGTTGCTAACAGAGTAGATAAAATTCAGTCACTCACGGAAACTTTGAAAGCAACCTGGCGTCACGTATCCACTAAGAATAATCCGGCCGATCTGATCACCAGAGGAGCGTCAGCTAAACACTTATCAAATTCAAGTCTGTGGTGGCAAGGCCCAGAGTATCTCAATTCAAGAGAAAATATGTGGCCAAAAACGAATGTTGAACTTCCATCTTTGCTAGATGTTCCAGAAATTAGGAAAGAGATTAAAATAATGTTCGGAGCAATAGTTCAAACTTCATCGGACCTGCATTATTTGTTACATAGATTTTCGTCGCTGAACAAAATATTGCGCATTATTGGTTTTATGTTCAGATTTGTGCATAATATCCGCGCACGTCTCGCTAATAAGCCGTCAGAAATAAAAAGTGGAAATATTTCTTCGCGGGAGATGGACGGAGCAACAAAAATTTGCGTAAAGATTATTCAACAAGAATCATTCCCCGAGGAAATTGCACACTTATCAAGGAAAGACGGTATTCTACAAAGTTCCAGTAGTATCAAGACATTGCACCCATTTTTGGATGGTGAGAAGTTGTTACGAGTTGGTGGAAGACTTCAAAATTCGACACTAAGCTATGAGGAAAAACACCCGCTATTACTACCTACAAAACACAGATTCACCGAGTTATTATTCTGGCAGGAACATAGGCGACTTATGCACGCTCCTCCGCAGATGTTGTTATCAATGATTCGGCAGCGGTTTTGGCCCCTCAATGGTCCAATCTCGGCCAAGACATTAGTATACTCTTGCTTGAAGTGTAGAAGAGCGCAACCAAAACCGTGCGCACAGTTAATGGCCCCTTTGCCAGCATCTAGAGTGACTGTAAATGCACCTTTTCAAATAATCGGTATTGACTTTACCGCACCTTTACTAGTTCGAACCAGTAACCGCAAAAACGCTCATAAAAAGAAAGTTTACGTTGCTCTTTTCATTTGCTTCGTGTCAAAAGCAGTCCATTTAGAAATTATTGAAAGTTTGACAACACAAGAATTCCTTCAGACATTAGAAAGATTTTCTGCCAGAAGAGGCTTACCGACTGCAATTTTTTCTGATAATGCTAAGACATTTGTGGGAGCCAAAAGTGAACTAATCACCCTGTTTAAGGATCCAAAAGTGCAAGAGTACTTATCTCAAAATGGCATTGATTGGAATTTTAATCCTCCCAATTCTCCACATCATGGCGGGTTGTGGGAAAGCGCCATTCGAAGCTTCAAGTCTACCCTGCAAAAAGTGAATCGTTCTCGAGTGTTTCAAGCTCATGAGTTAAACAATCTTGTGGTGAAAATCGAAGGTGCATTGAATTCTCGACCGTTAACTCCGTTGTCGTCTTCTCCCGACGACTATGAAGCATTGACTCCAGGTCATTTTCTAATTGGCAGAGCAATTATGTCATTTCCCACGAAATTTGATTCCCACAAGTTCAAATCATCAAACGTTTTGAAAACATACAAAAGCTTCCAGCAGGACTTGTCTCATTTCTGGCGTCGCTGGTCAAGAGAGTACCTCCAAAGTCTGCAGTATTGTGCCAAATGGCATACGAGCAATCGTCATATTCAAGTTGGAAGCTTGGTTGTTGTCAAAAATAGAAATTCACCTGTACTTTATTGGAATTTGGGAAGAATCATCAAAACATATCCTGGTACTGATGGACACGTTAGGGTTGCAAAAGTGAAGACTCCGACTTCTGTACTTATTCGAGCCGTGACAGAACTTTGTCCATTACCTGTTCTGATCAAATAGATCAGCCGGGGGCAGGATGTTAAGTTTAATACTTGCTAAAAAACAGCTGTTGATAAAATTTTAAATCTAGAGAGGTTATGCTTTTCTTATGTTTTTTCTTGGTATATTCTTGGTGAATGGTCCTCAATAAAAGTGTCGTTTCTTCTTAATTATTTCTATTTTTTCTGAGATTCAACAGAGATAAATTTGAAGATAATTATGAAGGAAAGGTTGGAAACATGAAAAAGGTATTTAAGGCGAGTGATTCAATGGTTAGGAAGATCACTTTCAATTTAATAGAAGGTAAAGGACACCTTTAAGGACGCACAAATCTGGGAGGCGGGTCAAGGTGTGCAAATTTGGAATAATTTATTAGTTACCGCGGGCGCGCAACGTGATGGGTCGGTGAGAGGATCTTCAAGAGTGAGGGGGGGGGATAAAAATGAGTATGATTAAATTTCCTAAAATTGCTCTAAGTTTGTTCGATCGGGATCGAACAACCACATAACTCATCAGACTTCATGGTACTCTTCGTATCAAACTATAAAAAATGGAAATTTCAACAGATGTAGGAGTTTTTATGACGATTTTAAAGACAAAAAAAAGTTTAAATCGAATAAGAAAAAAGCTTTTAAAAAAACTGAATTAAATCGCGACGATCCGTCGTTTTTCCTAATGGAAAGAATGATCCGGAAAAGAGACTGAATATTAATGAACGCATATTTTTTAACTAATGCAAAATTTTAAAATGGGTCAGGAGGTTTTCCATTGATCTTAAATAGATCACGTATGTCTGACTCATTCAAACTGCTTCCTTATAAACAAAATAAGTCGCTAGCGGGGAAAGCGTTGTTTAACACAAATTTCAAAAAAGAGAGAAAAAACCTGCGAAAAACTTTTATTTCATTTTAATAAAGTTTTGTAATTAGACAAATAGACATCTCCGTTTTAGTATAGAGTCTATAGGTATAGGTAATAGGGCATTACAAAACGATGCTTTTCAATTAATGTGACATGACGCAACAAAATCAGTCTGCGAGAGTGTAATCGTCTCACGTTTTGATCAATTTGACACGTGAACTGTTTCCTTTCTCTTGTTTTCCTCTCTCTTCGAACATCGAACACCTGCCGTGTCGGTGTCATTCAGAGATATTATGTATTGATAAATTCTTCATAGAATCATTTTTGTGATTTAAAATAACGCACTGAGTTGATTCACATAAAAAGCGTTACGCTCCATATCTATACATATTTCGAAAAGATTAAAGGAGAAGTCGTCGCAGTGATATGGTTTAATCAACTTTATTAATTCGTAAGATAGTGCATGCATTTTGCGTGTTATTAATATCTAATTAAAAGAAAAAGTCTTGCCTTACAAGCTTGTTGATTGTTTTATTCATTAGTGCTTCTTTATTACTATTACTAAGGATGGACTCATATGGTTTGAAGTGTACATTCACTCGACAAAAATATAACAAAAAATCAGCACGCGTGTAAGGCAAGACTTTTCATTTAAAAAGATGAAATTTTTTCCCACCGTAATGCCGCCAACAGGCGGCAATCGCCGCGCTCAACGATTGGATACAACTATTCGTGTTCCGGGATAGCCCACGTTGCATACTCAAGAAATTGAAGGCCAACTTGAAATGTCTCCTTCACAGAGCCACCAAAAACGACCCGCTGTTGTAAAAAACAGGGGTAAATACCTTTGGCCGCTATGCTGCTTAACCCCTAGAGGACGCTACGCGCCCTCCAACATCTCTTGTTATACGTCCAATTTTCTGCCGAATTGGGAATTCCCGCGTATTGGCGGAAATTTCAAATTTCGCTCTTTGCCCACCACGTTGCTTGACTCTTTAATCAGCCCTCATGTAAAAAACTTGGGTCATATTTCTAAAACCTAAATAGAGCGGACTAATCTCGGGACTATTATATCTACCGATAGTCTCAAAAATCATGGAAATCGTCCCAGTAGGATGCTAGCACAAACTGTGACAGAAAATAAAAAATTACAGTGTTTAAATGGGAGAATTCGCAACTTTACCACGTAATATTAGAGAACCTGGACCATATTTCCAAAATTTTTAAAATAGCTGTCTTATCTATAAAACCTTCACCTATGGATTGCTGCCATCATGAAAATCAGCACGGTAAAACGCCGGAACTAAGAGAAGAACTAAGCTTACCAGATTTGAAAACTTAAGAGGCTTAAGAGCTCATAGTATAGATAAATGAAATCATTTCTGCTTAGTGTCAGCCTTAAGAGGAAAGACCGGTATAAAATACGAATTTTAGCGCCTTGCTTAACCGACATCCTGAGTTTACGTGATTTAAACAAAACTTTTGAAAGAAGATCTCCTTCCGGAATTGCTTGTAATTGTTTAATGAATGAGTAAAATAGTAGGTGGTAAAAATGTACATTGATCAATATGGTACATTCCTGGGGGTTACGTCCCTCGGGGCCGAATTTATTCGGCTTTTTTACACGGAGTGCATTATCCATCGATGAGTTCAAACCGCACCACCGGCCAATCAGAAGCGCTAAGCCGGACTATTGTGCAGTCGAGACCCGTCCTAAGTATATTTAAGTACAGTGGAAGGACCGACAAAATCCGGTCCCTGGCCGCCTCGCGCCACAGCCCCTTGAGGAAATTTTGCACCCTTACGCACTTCGCACTTCTAACTCATATCTAAAATTGTGCGGTTATAAACTGCATATGGCTGCAGAAATCATAGAGATCGGTTTACTTACTTCTCTTCCCTACTTCTTAAATTTGATTCAGTAAAAGTATTTTTGCTATTTGGTACTATTCGACCCTAGTTTATCAGAAAGGAACCAACGCACGTGAAGTTGAAACCGAGAAAAAGAGGTTTGTAGTTTTATTCCTCCATAAGACTCAATGCAGAAAATAAACTTTAACCCCTCTTTTTACAAACTAATTTTTTTTTTCGACTTTGAGTTTTTGGCAGGAGAAAATATATACGACTACTGGAACTCAAAAACATCCTTAATTTGTTCGAAAATGTGGGTTGGTTCCTCTCTGATAAACACGGTCCATTGGAGGATCTGTGTCAAGTGACGGCGGCCATTTTTACCTTCGCGTGGAATTTTGATACCGGAATGACTTATTCGTATCAAATTATTGATTTTCTGTGATGTACTTTTTGATGCAGGAAGCCCTACAAATTTGAAAATTTTTCACGTAGATTTTGAAAAGAGGGTTACATTTTAGACTTTCTAGATCTTAAGCCACTATTTTAGGAAAACCTTTCTACTTGTTGCTCTAACGAAACTCTGTGATTGACCTATTCAAACTATACAAAATTTCCTTAAGAACAGAAAAATTATTAATATTTATTTCCGGAACGGTGTGAGCCAGCCCGAGCGGACAACAATGCAGATCTAGACAAAAACATTTCGAACAGTCAGCAAAACACGCAACCTCGAGTTGTCCAACAACCCAAAACAATCCGAGATTTCACGGCCCTTACGCATTCCTCTAATTTCCTCTGTTTCTGTTTGCAGATCGGACGAGCAGTACGTGAACCATCTCCATCTCTCGCCGAGCTCTTCGAAATCCAGCGGTCCAACGTTCAACAGAAATCTGAAGCGGTTCGGAAAAAGTGCGCAAAAATCGACCGAAAATTCAACAGATCTACTCTAAAAATCGTTGGGTAGTAAAACTCAATCTGCATTCACCGTTGAGTAGTGGCGTAAAATTTTCGCAAATCAGGTAACGATCGAAAGTTATCGGAACACGACAGATTAATCAACGATTTTACTCTAAAAATCGTTGAGTAAAAACGTATACTCACCGTTGAGTAGTGGTGTTATCGGAAGTTCTCGGAACACAACTGATTAATCAACGATTTTACTCTAAAAACCGTCGAGTAATAACGTACTCACCGTTGAGAAGTGGTGTTTGCGATCAAAAGTCATCGGTGGGTAAAAAGTGCCGACCTTTGCGGTGAAGTGCGTGGAAAAGCGCGCGAGCGTCAAAGTCATCGGGCGCGGGGTCAAGAGTCATCGGGCAGGCGGCAGTCAACGGCCAGCGAGTCCGGAAAAGTGGGGAAATGCCCCGGCGAGCGGTGATCTAAGAACGGGTTTCAAGTTTTTCGACGCCGTATCCGAAGGTCCTTTCGGTCCGCGCTTAAAATTCAGGCTGGTGAATTTACCGCGTCAGTCGCTACGCCGCCCGTCCACCGACATGTCACTCAGAGCAGGTCCGAGCTCCGCATCGGTGTAACCGAACCCGCGCGGAAAACATCGCCTTTCGCAATCGCTCGCGAAACTTCGCGCTGTGCGGTCAACTTCCTCCAAGTGATTCTCTAACTTATCGATTTTCTCGACTCTGGAAATTTTCAAAAATCTTTGTGCGTGTTCGCGGGTGATTTTATTCCAAGTGCTGGTGAGTGCGCGAGTGGAAACATGGCGTCTATAGTGCGAAAAGTCGTCGACACCTACACCGATGTGATGGAAAACCACTCGGACCCCAGGGTCAAAGATTGGTTCCTGATGTCAGGCCCGGGTCCGACCATAGCCATCGTCTTGGTGTACGTCTTCATCGTCAAGGTGGCCGGCCCCAAGTTCATGGAGAACCGTAAGCCCTACGAGCTCCGGAAGACCCTCATCATCTACAACACCTTCCAGGTCCTCTTCTCGACCTGGCTCTTCTGGCTCGCTCTGGAGGCCGGCTGGTGGGGTGAGTATTCCTTCCGTTGCCAACCCGTCGATTACTCCAACTCCCCGAAAGCCCTCTTCACGGCTAGGGGCTGCTGGTGGTACTACTTCTCCAAGTTCACCGAGTTCTTCGACACGTTCTTCTTCGTGCTCCGTAAGAAGTACAACCAAGTCTCCCGGCTCCATGTCATCCACCACGGAATCATGCCCATCTCCGTCTGGTTCGGAGTGAAGTTCACCCCTGGCGGCCACTCCACCTTCTTCGGGCTCCTTAACACCTTCGTCCACATCATCATGTACACTTACTACGCTCTTGCCGCTCTTGGGCCACACATGCAGAAGTACCTCTGGTGGAAGAAGTACCTGACCGTCCTCCAGATGATTCAGTTCCTCCTGGTCATGATCCACGCTTTCCAACTACTCTTCATCGACTGCGACTACCCCAAGGCCTTCGTCTGGTGGATCGGTGCCCACGCTGTAATGTTCTACTTCCTCTTCTCGGACTTCTACAAGCAGAGCTACAAGCAGTCCCAGGTAAAGGCCGCCCAAAAGGCCGCTAAGGAAGCCGCCAATGGCAGTGCTAACGGTTCCGCCAACGGAAAAGCCAACGGCAAGGAGAAACCCATCACCGACTCGTACAAGGTACCCGAGAAGGACCTCCAGAATAGTTACCAGGACAGCAACGTCAGGCACAGAGGGTTCGTCTCGGAGAGATAAGATAAGCTAGTTTTTCCAATTTTTTTTTTTTCGAAAGCTCCTCGGTATTTCACCTCGGGAGGATGTTCCGGATCGAAAATGGCAAAAAGGGCGTATGACAAGCTTAATTTGAAAAATTCGACTCGATTGTGACGAAGTTCTGTTCACGACTACCAAAGTGTACCATTATTTTACAATGCAGTCAAAAATTACATAGTATTTTCGACTTTCAACTGTAGTTTGATGAAAATTTTCACGAGTTTAATTTACCGTGCTAATTTTATCATACGCACTGTGCGTTTATTTCACGTGATATCATTTGGCTTCTGATATGATCTGATGAATGCAATTGTCTTTTTAGGATTGTCCGTTATTTTCTGAGCCCTAGGAAACTTTATCACATCATTTCGTCAAAAATGCGATGAAACGATTCGATCTTACGCCTTTTTTGATCCTGAAATACTTCCCTTTAGTTTTCAACTACTTCCGCGGAAGTTTGCGCTTCAGCGGTGAGCTTCAAAGAAATATTAAAGGAGAGAGGCTTCAAATACAAGTGCGTGTGCGAGACAGTTAATACTTAGCGTTAGTTTTATTGACTTGATACTCACACATCGATATCAATGCAGTGAATTGGCAATTGATGTGTGGGATTCGTTTCATGCGCAGATGTGTTTAGCGAGCCAAAGAAGAAGAAACACCGTGCGGAACGTGAAGTTCATTTTTTTTTTCAACGACGAGGGAAAATCTTCCCGAGGAGAATAAATTTGCCAATATTTGTGTAGTTTTTGTATATTTATTGGTAGTTTTAAGGTTAGTTTTTATATTTATTGTAGTAGCCCCCAAGAATGAAGCCGCGAACGAATTTCGCTGCCTTGACATGAAATAGTGTTTTACCGTGCTAAGGAAGAACGCCGTGTGAGCTTTCAGACGTTGCCTTACTTCCTTTAATATGAAACGAATTTACCAGAAAAATTGCGAATGTTTTTTACAAATTTTCCAGACAATTTTGTGCGCAATTCAATCTGAAAATTTAAAAAAAAAAACATGCATGACTTTCCTCAAAAATACATGTTTTATTCGAGGAAATTTGGCAACTCTTGAATGTTTATACGGCGTTCTTCTTTGGCAGTATTGTACAGTACCAATGCCTAAAATCCGATTTTTCTTTTACTTATTAGGCCACATTTTGGGCTGAAACCCCAAACATTTGATAGATATAAGTTATCGTGATGCGTGCCTGTTTATAGTAGACACTAAGTTACCGATGTTTGTGCCCGTGCGTTAAAGTTTCTCAGTTGTGAGCGAAACAACACGAGTTGTGCGCAAACTCTTCATAAGAGGCGTCTTAGAAAACACTGTTGATACCCAAAAAATCTCGCCTTAAGCTCTGAAGAGCTTGTTTATTTTTTGGTTTTTCGCCCATGACAATCGTCACGCTGCTAAGTTCATCCTTGCGCAAACCTAAGTAAAGTTAACTTTAATCGGCAATTAACTTTGAATTTTGGAGACGGGATTTACATAAATGTGCAAAATTAACTTAACATTTACTCAATATTATTACCTTTGATTTCGGAAAATTTTTAACTTAACAGAAGATCAAATTTCTAAAAAAAAAATTATATAAATGACATTCTCGACAAAACAATGCTCCTATCATATTACTTTATATTATTTTATTTATTTTTATTCAAGTAGTACGTAGCTACAGCTAAAATATCTAGCAAAAAAAAAACAGGATTAGGGAAAATAGCTGATGGAAAACTACTTCAACTACGTTCCTCCTAATCAGATTTAGAATAGTTTGCGTTGTTCAAGCATTCCGGACCGGTTCGACGGGCACATCTTAAACCTTCCGCCAATATTTTTTCTCGATGTATTGATTCGGACGAGATGTTTGACATTTTTGAGTAATCCAGTCTTTACCAGCATTGAAGAGCTCTTAAAAGCTATCAAAACTCAAAAGGCTCGCGATTGACTCTTGGTAACTGTTTCCATTTATCATGGTATTTGTACCAAGATAACCGGTCTTGTGTGAATAATAATAACTTAAGTACCTTAAAAACCGTCCATGCGCTTTAATAACACGGAAAAAAAATTGAACGTTGCTTTAGCATTTACAATGTTAACAAATGCGCGACAAGTACTGATACTGATTTTACAATAAGGAAATGCTTACCTACGCTCACGGTTAAAGAAACCGATTCAGTGTTAAGTTACCATTTTTTTAAATGTAAAATCAGTATTTGACACTTGTCGAACATTTTTTATCAGTATAAATGCTAAATCAACATTCAATTTTTTCCGTGAATTTTATTATTAGAAAGAACCAATGATACTCCATATATTTTGCTGATTATTCTCAGTACGCGTGTTAAAATTCAAAATATATACCTACTGATCATTATTAGAACTATACAATAATTCGAATTAGATTCACGATGGGAATTTTGGCATTATTCAAGAGGATTTCGGTTTGCTTCCAAAAAAGGAATCACTGTAATTTGAGCCTTTAACCTAGTCCTCACATTAAAGTTACTTTAATTCGACAGTTCCTTTTTCTAGCCCAATCTCTCACGCCGACCCGCAAACGTGGGCAGTGAGAATGGACCACTAGACAAGGTACGAATTTAAGCATTCTAATACATGTTTCTTGACCAGAATTTCACGTAGAGCACGATTTGCGTAACGAAAATTACCGAAATCAACTCCTAACAAAGATATTAACGTTTATATTTCACATTGGTTACGAGGAGTTTGAACTGCCCGCTCACAAGAAACTCAAAGCTCTACGTGAGTCAAATCGTGCACTACAACGGTTTCAGCAAGCTTCTCAATCAAGCGATGTTCATTTCCCACAATGTACTGTTCAAACTATGAACAACTTGCAATAGCTGAGCTAAAGCGTCAAGATTAAGGTTGATTAACGGCTTAAGGCCAGATTTTTATATCGCGGAGACTGTCATGATAACGTTTAGCGCGCGATGTGAGTCACGTAGATCATTGAGTTTTCATGAGCGGGTGGTTTGAATTCACGCATCAAGAATCATTAAATATCTTCATAACGGGTTGATTTCGGTAATTTTCGATGTGCGCATCGTGTTTTACGTGAAATTTTGATTATGAAACGTGTATCAGAATGCAGAAATTTGAGCCTTGTCTACTGGTCCATTGAGGAAATGACCTCGGCGCATAAGTGTTACGGAGACAAATCCGTAGGATCCGTGAAGATGAGACAGAATATGTCTGCACAAAACCTTATTCGTCATACTCGTATCCGTTCTTAAATGGCCGTATGTATGCTGAAAAGAAACAGTGCGCAAATGAATAAAATCAAAAGGGACTATGTTGCACGCAAATCCGATGCACATAGTTCATTTTGATTTAATTCATTTGCACACTGTTCTTTTCAGCATAACACCTCCAAATAAGTTTAGCTTAACAACCGGTCTCAGGTATCCGTCTGCTGATTCCTCGAAAAGATGCGTCAGAATCAGGAAAAGTCAGCACGAAAGACAGTTTTTCAAAACACGCGTACAAGGAGAAATTTCGGAGCACAAATTGATAGGTTAATCAATAGCATCGCCGCGCCGCACCACCGGTTGTAAACGTTAAAATGTAGGCACTTCTGGTTAAACGTGTTCTTGTATTCTGATATTTTAAACTTCTATTTTTTTTAATCTTTCGAAAAAAGTAGCAACTTATCTCTTTCCACGTATTTTTTTTAAAAAGGTTCTGATAAGGCAAGAGGACACGCTCGCAAATTGCTGAAAAAGTATGATAATTGACTAGTCTATACCCGTGAACAAGAATTGCGTGATCGGTAATGCGGTAGATCATGGATAGAGGTATGAATATGTTTATTTTTACCGTCAGTAGAGAAAGAGGCTAGAAAAATGGCCCAACGATTTTTCATGATTTTCGCATCAGTTGAAAATGTTATTTTGCAAATCGAAATTTTTAGACTTTTCATACTTCCATGTATTTCTTTCCGGAGACTCAATGTGGTTCCATTAGGAATTGAAAAGTATACTTTTGACGTTTTCAGATTTGCTGAGATTAGATAATCCATTTTTGTAAAACACATCAAATATAGAACAACAAAAAAACTGTCAGCCGGGAGAGAAATTTCGCATGGCTACTGATAAAAAAATTCTGTTCGGGCTTTTGAATAATTCATCTATTTTTTCATGTCAATTACGAGAAGGTTACAAAATGATTTGGTATTTGTTTGATGTCGCCTTAACTGAGATCCACCGTCATTATAAGGCCTAACAGCTTCAATGAGCTATAAAATTCATGAATAATTTTGCGGGATAGTTAACTTTAGAGCTATGAATGTATGCATACTTCTTCAGGAAAATTAGCCGATTCGAGTCTAAAAATATATCTGCAGCATCAATATCATTCTTACAGGCAATTAGTAATCAAAGAATTCTAACAAATTATAATAAAATCGAAGTAATTATTCAGAGAAACTTCGGTAAAATTACGTCAAATGCTTCGGCGCTGAGGACAAAGTTATTTAATAATATATTTATATTTTGAAAAACTCAGGACAAAAAATTTCCAATATATTGCATTCGATTGAGAATAATAATCCCAACTTTTTTTCATGAAAAAAAATAATAGATAACCGGTTTTTTTCAGTAAAATTCAAATTTAATGAGACAAAATTTTATAAATGAGGTCCCATACGATGTTTCTTCCTAAAGACGAAAGCTCACTCCTTAAAATTAGAAAAAAATCAGAACATACAGATTGACATTCCGCGAAATTTCAACCAGGTTTTTGAACTCAATCAATGAGACCAATTTAAATTTCTTTTTGCCTGTATATAGTATAGTAGGATTCGATTATGTACCAAGATTTCCGGAGCCTGTTTTCTTACTTATGTACTGAAAATTTCAAGCTAGGCTAAACCCGTTCAAAGCCAGATTTTCCGGACCTTTTAAAAGAATTTAAACTTGAATATTCGCCCCGTTTCTCTCTCTCTCTTTCTCGGTGCAAGTCACAACAGGAGGCTGGACAAAACCTGCTAAGATGTTGCCAAATCTTGCTAAAAATCACACATATTCGTGTGCGGTTTCCAAGATTTTTTGAACGATGAGGCAATCGGCTTTAGAAAAATTATATGCAAATCGCGCGTGTCTGGCTAATCACGCTGGAAAACCTGCCTCAATTTTTACTCGGTTCACGGGACCGCTTTTAATGTCGGGGTTCAATCAATTTATCACCTGCATTTCTTGAGTATTAAGAAAAACAGGTTTCCGTAGCCCCCCTGCTCAATCTGTGGCGATGGCTGAGTGAAAATCATCATCCGCCACTCGCGGATCTGTGCTTTGCGATCTATCGATTGATCTGCCATATAAACCTATGGAAAAGGATCGATAAATAGAGTGTCCATAAAGACCACCTTTTTGATCGATTCTTTACCACGGCTTCAACAGGAGAAATATCGATATCGATAGTGGATCATTCACGCCTCGTCTTCGGTAACCAGGATCTGATCGTATAGTCGCAGTATGCCCTACCCTGGGGGCTCGAAAAAACCCCTCCTCGCTATGAAGAAAATCCATTTCTTCAATCATAGCTTCTACATCATGGCTGCCTTTTTAAACGGGCAGTGCTGCCATGCTGAGGAAAATCGCTACGTGAGCCCTCGGACGATGCTAAATTACCTTTTACGACTTGTGAATATTTTCTTTCAAATTTTTCAGTGGCAATTTTGCAGGTTGGCGACACTGTTTTTCCTCCGCTTGGATCCATTAAAATATCGATATTCTGCCTTACCAAGAATCGATCGTTTTTCATACGTTTAAATGAAGGGAAAATAGTGTTGCCAACTTTCGAACATCGCCACTGGTAACGATTAAGAGCAAAGCGCTCATTGACATAGCGCCGCCGCACCCTGCCGAAAAATACACTGTCTATAGGGTAAAAATAGGCGTTGACCAAACGAATTTTTTAATTCTTATTTTAGTCGTTTTGTGGAGCAGTATTACGCCGAAATGTCAACACAGATTGAAATCCAAACGTGTGCAAAATGAGAACAGCGGCGGATCCAACAATTTGGCAACACCGGATTTCCTCCGTTTAAACCTGTGTTAAATAATCGATTCTTGTCAGAGCGCCTGGCCACTCCAAGGATCGATACATTTCCATTGGTTTAAATGGGGAAAAGAGGTTGCCAATTTGCTGGATCCGCCAATGAATGAGGATTAACACGAGACCGGTCTATATGACGCCATGTAATTAAGACAAGGTCGAAGCTTATTTTCTCTGAGAGCCTAGGCTACTCTCCATTAGACCGTGCTCTTCCTTGGCAGGGCATTCACGAAACTCACGAGTGTGGTTCGGTTACCAAACCGATTTCCGTGGTTGTGGGCGCTCTACAAAAAAATCGAATATAGATCGTAGGTAAAGACCAAGGCCTTTGATCTTGACCTGATCAACCACTGTGGGGTTCTCTTTCTCACCTCATAAGTAGAGATCGGAGAATATTGTTCGAACAAATGATAATGTATCTCGGGCATTCGATACAATCGCTTTTTTAAGTCCGGATGTAAATTTTAAGCCGTTGCGCGGTGATGTGTAGCTTTTTTCTCGGGAGGTGTGTTGCGAAGCGTGTCAAAAACGGACCTTGGTTCAATTATTAGTGCTTGACCTTTTTGCCACGCGTTTTTTCGACAGTGGCGCAACGCTGCCGGTGAAACTGGTTCGGTACAGTGTCCGTGAATCTTTTTCGAAAGCTCTACTAAATTTTTCTGTGAAATGGAAAGTTTAAATATTTTGGAATTTTTTTTTTTTTTTTTTTTTTTTTTTTTTTTAAATATTTTGCCTTAGTCCAAATTATTACACAAGTAGATGAATTTATTCAGGATCAGTCTAACTACGTTTAAGAAGAAATTAAACGCTCAAGTACGCTCAATGTGGTTAGGCTGATGTTGGTTGATAAGTTCGTCCGTTTCATGTCGTCTTATCGTAACTCATGTTTCAAATTTAATTTACAGGAAACTAAACCACACAACTCCTTGAAACTTTCGGTTTTGTTTTTGGATTATA